CCCGCCGCCTCACAGCAGCCGCCTGCTGCCACGGCAACCGCCTCCCCTGCTGCCGGGACGACCGCCGCCATCGCTCTGCGGGACGTTAACGTCTCGGCGTGACGCCGTCCCGCGCCGGGCTGCGATTGGTCGGCGGTGACAGGTTCGGACAGGTTGCCACGACGACTGCAGCAGCAGCAGGTTTAAACACTGTGAGGAGGAACAAGTTTCACTCCAGAGACTTCAAAGGGTTGAATAAAGGAGGAAGTGGCTGCCTTCAAACCCTGAGCTGCTCAAACTGTGGCCCGCGGCCCCGAGACGGGTCCCCTGATGGGACCCAGCAGGTCTACACGTTTTTATTTAACTTGAAACGAGACGTCAGAGTTTCAGTCACGTCGTCGGACTCGCTGATCGTCCTGATGTGTGATTCTCTGACCTCAGCAGAACCTTTAAGAACTAATATCTGCTTTTTAATTCACTGAAGTCAAACGTGATCAGAGGTTTGACTCGAAGCTTAACTCATGTCAGCAGATCAACCGGCGCTCCGACTGTCTCTGTATTTATTTCCCGACGCTGCCGTGTCTCATGGTACAGTTTGGTTTTCCACTGCAGGAACCTTTTAGGGCGACTTGAGCCTCTGATGAGGAACCGTCCCTGTAGAACATCTTTCAGAGGAAAAAAACTGTTTCTGCTCCAGACAAACACTGACGTCTTTCTGCCGTCTCCACGTCGACGCCATCTTAAACTCACCACATAGACCAACGGAACAAACATCCATCATTGTTTTTAACACACAAGCTTTCAGATTCGGCACCACAGTGAAAACACCTGATGATGGTTTTGTTCCTGCAGTCGGAAACTGTTCAACATTTAACGTCCCGGAGGAGCTTCTTCCGGTTTGCTGAGCCGTGATTGGTTCAGGAGCGATGAGGCCGGTGATGTGATTGGCTGAGAGCGGATCCTGCTGCACCTGAACTGAGCAGAACTAAACTCCCAAGACTGAAATCTTTCACTAAATTAACCGACAGATCATTCGCTAAAAGCCTGTTCAGACCTTCTACCATCTCGTCATGTTTTATTTCGAGCTGAAACGAACGGGTGGACTTGAACGCAGCCCGACCGGGTTTGAATAAACTCTACCTCCATCTGATCCCGACTCACCTGCAGACCCACAGAACCTCCAGTTCTGCTCCATGAAACCTACAAACCAGCAGACTTCACCAGAGTGGCCTTACGCTGCCTTCGCTGCAGCTGGGAACCGAGACGTTCGACGTTGATGCGACCGTTTCTACCTGAAATCACCAGCAATAACGTTCCAGGTGTTTGAGCGGAGGAACAGAAAGTTAAATTTACAGGTTTGAATGCGGAAAACAGACGACTGAACAGACACGACTGATTTGCCAAGCATTTATTTCAGGCTCCTGAACACCGTGAGCGCTGAAACGTCCCACCGTTCCCAGCTGACACTGAACGCTTCTGCAGACAGATTTATAATGAATGTGTGACAGAAATAAAAACACTTGAAACCGAACTGATCAGCTGTTTTTCTTTAACCTGCAGTTTGTGTTTGATTTGAACATCAACAGATAAATATGTTAAACAATTAGAAATAAAAATGACACACACCAACATAAATGTTTTATATTCTGTTATTTTTTTCTAACAAGTGAAAACAGTAAAAGCAGAAAAACGTTTTGTTACTGCAAGAAAAACGACAAATTTATTAAATTTCTGAACTAAAATCCTGGTTTTAATTCTCATTTCGAACCGGAAATGTGAAGTCAATTTTTAATTTACTCGACCAGTACAAGGAAGTACCGAAGCGCTCCCTTCACAATAAAAGCAGAGCGTGTTAAAGATGATTCAGCTTTTTTTTGTTTTTTCATCTCGTGACAGTTTTTTTTTATGTTTAATTGAACCACAGCTCCTAAAGTCTTTGCCAGCATTAACTTCAGCTCCCTTAAAGTTAATTTAAGGCCACTAAAATTAAAAAAGTCTGCTGGAGGCAGGAAGGTTTACGTAGGATATAAACTAATGCAGGAGATCTAATGTTGTTGTTTCTGACTGCTGCTATTTATACTGAAATAATAAATGGTGAAAATCTGACAAAGTGCCAGAAAAAACCCAACAACATTGTTTTAAACTGAGGCAAAGTATAATATTAAAAAAAAGAAATCTGCAAAACAATTATGTTTGAAACTGATTTAAATATCAGACAAAACATCTGTAAAATAAGAGTTTAGTTTTGTTATCAAATAATGTTTTTGCTGATTGAAATACAGTTTAAAAGTTGTCATTTTAATCAAATATTGTAAAAGAACCTATCAGCATTTAAATAAACTGGTTTTAATAAAATTAATGAATCAGCAATTTGAAATTACTTAATAAAACAAAACATTAAAATAAATTTACCCGTTAGATGTGGATTACTAGAATAAATCAGAATAAAAGGTTCGTACTGCAACTAAAATAACTGATGTGAACATTAATACAGTAAATGAAATTACTCCTCATCAAATTTAAAGGTGGATTTAGTTCTTTAGAAAAAAGACTGAAAAGTATCTGAAGATAGAATCGATTTACTTTAGAAAATGCAAGAAATTAATTGTCATGTTCTGTGTTTTGATCTCACTGTTTCTAAAGTTAAATTAAATATAGAGAGAAAGTTGCTCATAATTCTGTTTCAGCTGTGATTTTAAAATGCTGATTCTTCTTTGGAAATAGAAAAAGAGTTTATTTAACCCTGACACACTGTTCATACTTTATTAGGGAATTCCCTCATAGTCAGTGTCTACACCACATTATAAACCACAGATCTATTTAGAAAGTCACATTCATTTAAAATAAATAAATAAAAATACACATTAAATATGGTCTGGACAGTTTCACAGTTTCAAGATTCCCTCAAATCACCGTTTTTCTTGATTTGACTCACACTAGTAGATCTAAAGTCCATTTCTATGGATCTAATCTGACCTGGAACAGCTTCAGTGGACGAACATCTGCAGCATCTGTACAAAATATAACATCTTCAAATATTTTATTTTTTTGTCTATTTTGGGTCACTTTAGGAGAAACCATCGCATTTCAGGCTAAAAGACGTTTCGGGTGTTTTCCCTGCTGTCAAATGTCAAAACGGGTCCAGTTTGACCCAAAACAGTGCGTCAGGGTTCATCTGCAGAGTCATCCGCTCTTATTGTGAAGGAAACCGGAAGCGCTGCGGTGCCTCAGTGCGTGTTATTGACAGGCGGAGCAGACGGAGCATCACAGCAGCTGGAGACACATCTGGACCAGAACTGAGCGCGCAGTCACCGGACGGACCGGGGCGGACCGACGGGGACAGAGAGCGGCGGACGGAGCGGCGGAGCGGCGGACGGACCGACCGGAGCGGCGGGCGCCTCTCCGCCTCCCAGCATCCGTCTCCTGCAGGCCGGCGCGGGGCTCCGGGGCCGGGCCGCCGGTGCTCCATGGGGGACAGCATGGCGGAGGAGACCCGGGTCATCTACCACCTGGACGAGCAGGAGACCCCCTACCTGATCCGGATCAACGTGCCCGCGCAGCGCGTCACCCTGGCCGACTTCAAGCAGGTCGTGAACAAACCGAACGTGAAATTCTTCTTCAAGTCGGTGGACGACGACTTCGGGTGAGAACCTGCACCTGCTCCTCACTGGGCTGGAACACAGCACGTGCTAGAGACGGGCAGCTTCACCAACAATAAACATCAATAATAAATAACGATCATGTAAATAAACATCCTCATCGATAGTAAACAGATGTGAAGCTCTGAACTTCAGACATCAGCTGCTTCTCCTGAACATCACACAGAAAGGCTTCAGTTTAGATCATAGATCAGAGCCTCAGCTGTCATTTAATGTTCAACCGGAAATGAAAACCGAATCTATAAAAATATTAGTGATGAATTAAAAAATCTACACTTTGGTCACTTTGTTCCAAAACGACGTTCAAAAGTGTTTTTTCTCCGGTTTTGTTCCTGTTGTGTTGCTGAGTCGTCATGTCGCCTCATATCGTGTTGTATCGCATCATATCGCGCAGCTGCATCACGTCATGTCGCAGCGTTTTGTGTTGAGTCATGTGTTGTTGTGTTGTGTTGTGTTGTATATTGTGTCATATCGTTTTGTGTCATTGTATCATATTGTGTTGTGTTGCGTTGTCATCTATTTTGTTATGTTGTGTTGTGTTTTGTTGTGTTGTGTTGCCTTGTATTGTGTCATGTTTTAGTGTATTGTGTCATGTCATGCTGTGTTGTACAGTATTGTATCATATTGTGTTGTTTTATGTTGTGTTGTATCATATCTTATTGTATTGTGTTGTGTCATTTTGTGTTCTTCTGTATTGTGTCACACTGGGTCGTGTTGTATCGTATCATATCGTGTTGTGTTGTGATATAATGTGTTGTATCATGTTGTGTTCACATCGTTTCGTGTTAGCACGTTGTCATATTGTGTTGTGTGGTATTGCATTGTGTTGTATTGTGTTGCCATGTCCTGTTGTGTCGCATCATATCACAGCGTTTTGTGTTGTGTCACGTTGTGTTGTATTGTCTTGTATTGTGTTGTTGTGTTGTATTGCGTTATATTGTGTTACATTGTGTTATGTTTTGTTGTGTTTTGTTGTGTTGTGTTGTGTTGTGTTGTGTTGTATTGTGTTGTGTTGTGTCGTGTTGTGTTGTGTTGCATTGTGTTGTGTATCATGTCGTGTTGTTTATAATGTTATCATGCTCCGGTGTGCTTTGTTGTGTTGTATCATTTTGCGTCATATAAAACTGTGTTGTTAGATATCATATTGTGTGATGTTGTGTTGTGTAGTGCTACAACGTGTTGTATTATGTCGCGCTACGTTGTATCATATTGTATCACTTAGTGTTGCGTTGTGTATCCTGATGTGTTGTGTAGCATCATGTTGTATCACATTGTGTCACGTTTCATCATGTTGTCTTATGAGCTCAGTGTGTCGTGATGCGTTGAGTCATATCTCTAAAGATTTACAGGAAGTGCAGCAGGTTAGAATCACCAACATGAGCTCAGTTTCTTCACATTCTGCTCGTGTTCCTGTTCAGAGTCCACGTATGTGAACGTACACATTCTGCTGCTTATTAAATATGCAGCATGTGTTCTATGTTCAGCTCAAGCTTCCTTTCTGGGTCGCTTTCATTCTCTATTTTTACTCTCTTTGTTGTATTTTTACTACCTTCTGTTTTTATTTATCCGTTCGTCATATCTTCAGGATATTTTTCCAGCCAGAGACGAGATGGATGTTTGATAATCTGAGCTTTTATTTAATCCCCGGCAACATGCACGGTGAGCTTATATAACAGACTGTATCTGTTAAAACCCGAAGCTCTTTAATATTCTCTCTGATGAAATCCTGCTGCAGAGGAGCTGAGCCGCTGCAGCCGAGGCTTTGTTCACCATCGGCCCTCGATAATCCCCGTCAGTATTGATCCGAGTCGGCCGGTCTGATTAGGATCAGGAGAGTAGGACAGCTGAGGAAATGAAACCGTCCAGGCTTCACACGGCAAAAGTTCAATTAATATCAGCAGCTGAATAAAGTTTAACAGCAGCTGTGTTAACTGACATGCAGTCAGATGATAAACAAGGACAAAATAATAGAAATATATTAAATTAGTGTTTATAAAATCCAATAATTATTTTATTTTAATAGTCAGGATAAAGTATTAGCATCAGATTGTGGAGTACCAGCAGTGAAAGCAGTGATGATTCACAGTGACTGTGCAGCATCAGATCACTTTCAAATGCTTCTAAAATGCAAAGGTAATCAGATTACAGTAGTCACATTACTTCTAAGATGAACAGAAGCATATGAGGTCTGATGTCTAAAGAAAGACTAACAGTTCAGATTTACTTTATTAAAAACACTGCATCAGGCGCCCTACAGCTCACCTAGCTGAGCGGGCGACCCGTGAACCGGGCCTGTGGATCCCCGGAGCAGCGGTCGCGGGTTCGACTCCCGCCCATGACCCTTTGCTGCAGGTCTCTCCTCGTTCTTCTCCCTTTCCTGTCTATCTCTACTGCTCTAAATAAAGGGGAAAAAAGCCCCATAAATATATACAAAAAATAAAAATACTGTATTGATGTCATGATGCTGCCACCACCGTGCTTAGCCCCATAAATATATACAAAAAATAAAAATACTGTATTGATGTCATGATGCTGCCACCTCCGTGCTTCACTGTCAGGACGATGCATCACTGTGGTGGTTCTGGTTCAAGTTCACACCAAACATCCATCTGAGCCCAACACGTTTATCTTCATCTGACCAAAGAATGTTCTCCAACATCCACCAGGCTTCTTTTCATGTCCTTTAGTTTAATTTGGACGTTGTGTGCTGAAGAGTAACTTTCTGTTCACGGATGCCGTCTGATGTTCTGAAGTGTCTGAGCTTCACACTGACTCCACTGATAAGCGCTGAAGCAGCTGCTGTCTGTTTTTAGAATTAGATTGTGAAAGTAGTTCAGTGTCTCATCTCACTGCAGCTTTGATCAGTGCTACCATGGCTCCTTCTAGACCTGCTGATTACTGCTGACACCGTGTTTCACAGATTTCTAGTTGATCTTCCTCAATCGTTTTTCATTTGTGAAGCTTCACAATTAAAAGTTTCAGTTCGTCTGTCGATTCTTGTGCATGTGGAGCCATGATGCAGACATGCAGATCGACACATATGATCATATCTGACTTATTTGACATTTAAGTGACGTTGCACATGGAGCGTGCTGTTGTATTTAATATTCTGTCTTGTCATGTTGTAATTTTTGCTGCCTTCATTCATCACGTTAATGTTGCATCTCAGTGACTTTACATTTGCTTGGTTTAGTTCCTGAAGGTTGATTCATGATGATGATGATGATGATGATGATGATGATGATGACGATGTGTGTTGCAGGGTGGTGAAAGAGGAGATCAGTGATGACGATGCCAGGCTGCCCTTTGTGAACGGACGAGTCGTGTGTTGGGTCAGAAACACACACAGACATCAAACGCACACTTAACCTTAACGTGTCCTCACTGCATTCATAAACCAGGTACCTGCTCTGTAACCAGGTGTTCTCAGGTGTTCATCGTGTCTCCTTCTCTCTGCAGCTCGTGTCGTCAGACTGTCAGCCAGATTTCAGGGGCTCGGATCTCCAGTCTATAGCCACGCCCACCTGCTTGGCCCCGCCCCCCATAGAGAGGACAGGTGGGATCGGGGACTCCAGACCGCCGTCCTTCCAGTGAGTACACCAGACTACACGCTGTATACTCACAGTGTTCTACGCTACGTGTACTGTACATGTTGTGTGTTTGTGTGCGTCAGTGCTACTGCCGTCGGCCATGATGACCTGCAGGGGTCAGAGGTCAGACCTGCTGTTTCACCTGCAGAGAGGCTGCAGAGGAAAGACCTGGGCGAGAAAGGTAAGACGACACAGACAAAACCAGAGGAAGACACAACAACGAAACACACAACAACACCTGACATCTGCGTCTCTGATTGGCTGCAGGTGGACGTCTGAACGGACACGCCCACCAACCAACAGATAAGAAAGGGGCGGGGCCAACAGGTGGAGGTGACAGCTCGTCAACACAACAGAGCAGCGAGTTGGAGACGACGAGTTTCTGTTCATCTGAAGAAGACTCGGGAGGAAGGTTAGACACACAAACTAATACTACACAACCAGACAA